TAATTATTCCTTATTTCTTGAATAACATTTTTAGAAAGGTCTTGTAAATTTTAAAATTTAAAATACATATTTTTTGCAGCCCTTTTATTATGAACATTTTTTTTTGTTTTATAAACATTTAGTAATATTTTATTATTTTTAAAGTTTATTTAGTGTTTTTACAAAATATGCAAGTGGCAATTTTTTAACGTATATTTTTTAAGATTTATTTATTATTATTTGATATCGGCAAAAGGCAATAAATATAGAAATAAGAAATTCAGTATATCCTTGTAATTAAAATGGCAATATTTTTTATTTAAATTTAATTAGTTTCTTTATTATTTTATTATAAATCTGTATTTTCTGGGAACTATGTTTATTTATTACTTTGATGAATATGTTTAAGTTTCTTAGTAAGTTCTCATTTCCACTGGCGCGTCCACGCGCGGTTAACCACTAGGGTGGAAATAGGTATTAAATTTATCTTTTCTTTCCGCAAGTGTTTTTTTTTTATTCCTTTATAGATAGCAGCTCTAAAAAAAATTAAATGTTTGCTCGTACCTTTGGTCTATTAATACTATTTAATTATTTATCAAATTATCTTAATCTTAAATAAATTTAATTCCAAAATTAACTTAATTGACCTTCATATATTATTTTGATTATTCCACTACATATTGTCGAGAAAAGTAGTTTAATGCTTCGGTAAAATTATTTACTGAGTTTCCATTTGCGTTAAAACTGTATATCAATAAATTGTCATCTCTCTCATTTTATTGGAAAAAAGAGAGATAAATATATGTTTATAGTGATTATGTCAGTGGAAACTTACGGTTAGATTTATAACGCAGCTACTTTTGTAAAGTTTTTATCGTATCCTATGGTCAAGGCACATTGTATCTAAGCTGTGATTTTGTAAACCAACGCGATATATACAGTATGTTTAATATAAATTGTTGATTTTTTTTCTTTTAGATTTTTTATGTTCAGTTATTTATGTTGATTTTATTTTGAATTATTATTTTAATAAATTATCAAATTTTAATAATTGATTTTTATTAACGAACATTTTTAAGACTGAACCTAGTTTCCACTACTACTTTTCCTTTTTACTAAGCGCACGGCCAGTATTGAAAAATGGTCTTAAAGTATCATTTTCCTTCAATGGATTTTGTAAATAAATAAATCCTCTTGTTCACATCTGTATCAAAGTACCAAAGCACAGTTCAAAAGGACAGCATAATAGGGCATTTAACAGGACTAATGTACTTTGAACGACTTCTTATGTAAAGTCTCGTGAAAAGGAGCTGATGGGAGAATGTACTATGCAAATTGTTTATAACGACATTAAAAGAATCGATTTTATTTAGTCGTAATATCCGATACATGAAATTCACGTCCTGTTAACTGATGGCGTAATATTTTCTATTGTATTTTGTACTAGTTTTAGTAAAGAAAATTTATTTATTCTCTAGAAAGTTCATTCTAAATAAAGATATAAAAACAATTCAGTCCCAACATAGTTTACCTTGACTTTGTAGTCTGTGTGAACTGGACACGTGCGCGTCGCTAAACCAGTCGTGTGATCCTCATAATTGCTACCATTATTGATCGAAAATGTGTCATACAACTACAACATATTATACAGGTATGTATTTGTATCCAATGCTACCTAAACAAGACTTTTATTCTAACGTTTATACTGAGTTAGTCCACTGTTGAACGTAGGCCTTTCCCATCGATTGCTACAATGCCTGGTCCTGTACTTTCCGCATCCAGTGCGCAATCTTTTTGTCTCTCATACTTTTTGTATAAATAACTCAATACATTATAAGTTTTTAAGTAAAAAGACTCCAAAATTATTTGCAATAATCATAAACACAACTATATAAATACTGATATACAAGCTGTCGCCTGCGAATTTGTCCGCGCAGAGTTAAAAAAAAAACTTAATTGGTAGCTTATCTGTTCTTCCGTCTTGTTTAGACTATGTTCTATACCAATGCCAAATTTCGACGAGATCCATGAAACCGTTCTGGAGATACCTTCTAACAAACATCCATCCATCCAAACGTTCACATTTATAATATTAGAACGATATAATGAAAGAGTAATTACAAGCATCAACTTTACAAGGTTTGTCGCTATCACATAAATAATTCTGAAACACGTCATACCAATCGATGGGGACTGGGTCGCCATTGTTCCGCTTGCCGTCATATCATAAAGACGTCATAGAACAAAAAAATCCTAGTAAAATGAAGCACCAGCAAGTAAATGTAGATTACTGGTCTATGGGCAAAGCTATGCTAATGTATGGCGGGCTAACAGCACTGTGCTGGCTGATGCTAAGACTCTTCAACACTGTGTTCACGCTACCCCGCAGGTTGAGGTCGCAGCAGGAAAACATACAAAACACACTCCAGGAGCTCCAGGTATGGGCATTTATACTAAGGACTAGTTGATAAAAGAGTCATCTTACTAATATTATAATATAAATGCGAATGTTTGGATGGATGGATGTTTGTTAAAAGGCATCTCCACAACAGATGCATGGATCTTGCAGAAATTTGGCATACATCTATGCCAAATAACATAATCTAGAAGTACACATAGGCTATTAATTATGTTTTTTAACTACTCGCAGTCAGAGTCGCGGGCGACAACTATAGCCTATTTTAGAATAAGTCAATAAATACATTTAAAAAAGTAAAGTTTAAGCTCATTTGAATTAACACAAATCTTACTAATATTATAAATGTAAATGTTTGGATGGATGGATGGATGTTTTAGAAGGTGTCTCCAAGACGGCTATAGATGAACGGATATCTATGAAATTTGGCATACATATTAAACATAGTCTGGAAGAACACATAGGTTACTAATTATGCTTTCTTTTTCATTCTGCGCGGTCGGGGTTGCGGGCGACAGCTAGTCTATTATAATATTATGAATGTACTGTGTATACTTTTAGAAACGCTTCCCTGACCTAAACATAACTGAAGAGGACTTGTTAAACGCTGACAAAGAACTGGAGAAGCTCCTGAAGGAAGACGAAGACGAGAAAACAAAGGAAAAGGACGTACCCAAAATACTAGAGCCGCCCAGCGAGGAGGACAAAAAATCCATATAAATTTTTAATTTGACTATGTTAACTGCACACACACAATCTCTCAAACAAAACAATAGAAAAATAAAAATAAATGTTCTGTTTTTATTGAATAATTTTGCTTTAAATAATAACTACAATAAGCTGTAAATTATTACAGTTAAAAAGTCTTAATTAAATTATTTCTGGGACAAAATCATCGTACATTCATTCTCTTTTTTTAGGTCTCCTTATCTCGATTCTTGATTAACCGTTGTCGTAAAATGTTTCATAATTATGTTTAAGCAAAGACATCGTAAAAAACCTTCTTTGTATCACCTGCCAGCAATAAACCATAACAATAAAAATGACTAACCATTAACAACTTGTTATGTAAACAAACATAGAGTAGACACGCATCAACCAATTTCCTCAAAGTCAAAGAACTATCAATTTACGCTTATTTAACGCGTGTACAATAACATGAGACTCTCACATAATTCAAACTATTCACTATAAAACATTTATACATAAATATTTTGTTATGTCTTTCATTCATTTTGCAAAAATTAGGATGACAATTAATTCTGTTCTGTTTCTGTGGACCCTCATACAAACATTCTACAGTACAAAATCTTAAAGAAAACCTTTTTACTTATATTGAACGTATTAACACAAACGCACCTTATATTCTTCATTTGAATATATTAATATTGCTCAAGAATTTGAGCAACTTTATGATAAATGTAATTGGATGTCGTAATACTTCTATACATTTATTGTAATGTATGTTATCTACTTACGAAGCAACAAGAAGTTACAATTTTTAGCTAAAACCCTCACGTATATGTGTCCGGTTTCACCGACTAGCTTCAAACCCATAGGGGGCTCTTCATCCTGATGATCCCTCGTCCTGACGAGCGGAACTAGTATTATTTCAATCGTTTCGGTGCTGACACCGGACAAATATACGTGAATATTTTAGCCGTTTATATATTAATTTATGGTAATTTAAAGGTCACTTTAGTTTTTGAAAGAACAATACTTCAGTATGCAAGGTTTAACTTTATTCTGTATATAGCCGTTGAGATCTTTGTCGCGTTAAATCATAAAAACTTAATCCGATATGAAAGCGGAGCTTTTTATTAAAATTGCAAAAGATTTAGTCAGTTGCTACTCAAGCAAATTCCATACTTATTCGTTTAACTTATTCTAGCTGGCAACAAAATAAAATAAACAAGGCTCTTAAGCTAAGAGATGCCGACGCAAAAGCTTCTTTGCTGAGATTGTAAAAGATTTAACAAGTTTACGAGCTTAAAGCTGAAATTTTATTTAATGCTACAGAATTGTCTCTATATTTTTAACTCTGGATAATAAGCTACCTATAATATGTTTTCATTCAATTTTAAGATAAAGTATAGCAATGGTAGATAATCAAACTTTGCAAAAGTCTGGAAAAAATATTTTCCAAAAATTACAATCAGTTTCAACATTTCGTTTAAAATTATGAAGTAAGTTTCTACATTTATTAGATCTAAAATATATCAAATATTTAAATATAAAGTTACTAACTATATATTAAGTTAAATGTACATTTTAACAATTGTAGAGTCGCACACCAAAAATCGTAAGTTCCATCCAGGTCTATAACATATTCCTTTTCATGATAAAATTATTTTCTGCGTACATATATATGTGTATTTGATATCAAATGATATTCATCGCGTATAATTTATTACGTTAAAAAAATCAATACATGTTAAGCAATTAAGGGCAAGTGCTACTTGCTCTTTAGTTCACCCACTCGACGATAGATGGAGTTGAATTATTAAATTGGAAAGGAGACCGGAGGCGTGGTTAAACTCCTCCAGAGAGCTTTCACCCCGGCTTTTAATTTTATTGATCTCTCATACCCATTCACTGTTCACTGTTAACGTAAATACTTTGTGCATAAATATTTATTTTTATATTAATATAACTGATAAGTGCATTGATATAGATAAGCTCAAGGTTTTGTGTACGGTGAGAACAAAACAATTGGTAATCGTGTAGCGAGTAATCAGTTGTTTTACTGCGTCGAATAACGCCGGCTGTCAGCTGTATCGTGCTCAAGTGCTTAGATAACCTGTGATGATGTTTACGAGTATGTAAGTTGTTTTAAAGTGAACTTTAGTGAAGAGTTAAAGATGACAAGATCTAGCTACCGTCCACTTGTGCCCCGATCTTCAAACAACTCGTTGGAGACAAGAGAAACAGAGTAAGTATTATCCCTTATCTTAGAAATGATTAATTTGTACACATAATGTACTTTAATGAGGAAAATTTTATTATTTTGAAATTAAACAATTCATGTCAATTTAGTTGTTATTTTATAAATTTTAACATCATAATAATATATAAGGTTTGTTTATATAAGTAAATAATAACAAAAATATACGGAATTTAATTTATGAAAACAAGCTGAATAGAATAGTGTACGTTAACCAATTAATATTCTAAAAAAAAATAAACATATTTTACAAATAAATTTACCTTTTAACTAATCAAAAACAAGACAAAACGTCTGTAATAAAAGGCCCCTATTTTATTATAAGAAAAATGCCCTTGCGAGGGCAAAAGTTGTTGCTCCTAGCAACTGCATTCCTGAATAAGAAACCTGTAGGATTAGTTCTGCGATACCAATTTATCAATTATATCGTATTAAAAATATTACTTACAAGATAATTTTGTCTATGAACAATTGTGAATATTTTCATATCATCCAATCTAAAGATATTTTTGCACAACCATAAAAAGATCAAGATAATTTGAAACAGAAAGTCGCAAAAGGAAACAAGTTGTTGAAACAAGATTAAGTGAATAAGAAGTACACGGAGATAGTAAACATTTAAATTAAATGAAACAAGAGTTTAAAATTTTATTATATTTTAACATTAATAAATAAAATGTAGATTAATTAATGTATTTGCATATAATAAGCACATCGTCGTTAAGATTACGAACATACTTTTTACCCTCAGATGTTTGCTAATACTTTCTTAGACCGTCTTATTAGAAAGCTTTCCAAACGTAATTCTAATATGATTGCCTGTTCTACTGGTTATATCGGCAACTTGTTTTTTAGGTCCTTGGGAAATAGAAAGTACATTGATATCGCTTTTTAATCTAATAATTAATATAACCATATATTTAATTGGAATTACGAGTAGTTTTTGACTTTTTAAGGAGTTTTTTAGTTGATGAAAGAATCTTACAGTCGATCCAGTGAATTAAGAATTAATTCAGACAAAACACGAGTATTTAAAGTTAGTGTTGTCTCTTTCATTCTACTTGAATAAACTGAAATAGCATTATTTTTTTATTTACTAGAAAGCTAGTACAAAATAAAATGACCGACATTACGAGGAATGTTACGAGTTGTAACATTCGCGTCAAGCGGCACGTTGCTCGCTGATTTCCCTGTAACAACGCACTGACTGCATGAGTACTCGCGGTGTAACATGTTACATAACACCATCTAACATTGCTTTAGTTAAGTGTGACTGTATGACAGGTTTAAGTACCACGTACTAATACATATAAAGATATCGTATAAATGTATAAATCCCCCTTAATCTGTATGCCTCTGTATGCATTCCGTATTCATGATTGAGTAACGTATTGAATACATAAATCATTCAATTACAATTCTGTAGCCTGTTTAGAAATCTTTTTATAGATACTTACTCGAGTTAAATTTATTCATTTTGTATGTATCGATGTTTTGAAGAAGTTCAAATAATTTAAATTAAATAGAAGGCTATATTACATTATTAAAACATCTTTTTTTAATTCACTTACAATTCCTATATAGTAACAACAATGCATATAAATAAACATTAGCTGTCGCCCGCGATTCCGTCCGCGCGGAATTTGGAAAAAAAACTTAATTAGTATGTTCTAGTGCCAAATTTTATTAATTTGAGCCGTCCCGATAATACCTTCTAACAAACATCCAGCCGTACATCCAATAATCTAATTATTTTTTAATAATTTTTAATTTATAATAATAGTAGGATAATGGCTACCTTGTATAAAATTTGATGTATACAAGATTATTAAATGGGGATTACTAAAATGTGACATGCGCTGATATTGAAGCTAACACTAGTATCAATATAATAATTATTTAAATAATAAAAGTACTGCAGAGTAATATAACTAATGTACATTGTAATTATGTCGAGGATATATAATGGATTGCAGTTACCTCTACATTGTATTGAGAGTAGGGTCATATTAATTATATAGGTACGTTACATCTAATTCATATTATGTACATTACTATGTATACATAACAAATATATAAAATGCCGATGAATTGATAACCTACTTCTTTTTGAAGTCGACTAAAAATAAATAAAAAATAAAAAAGATCTTACTTTAATAGGGTTGCCACGTCGCCTAGTTGACAGACCAGCCAGTTTGGCCGGACATTTGGGTAGAAAGGCCGGACACCCTACATTATTGAGGATTTTGTCTCATTACTAATAGATACGAAATGTAAAAAGTCTAACTGGACTACCCGGACACTGTTTATTGGCCGAACATTCAATCAAAAACCTACCTAAGTCCGGTTTTATCCGGGCGCCTGGCAACGCTACACTTTAAACAACAACAACAAAATTTTTTACAACTAATCTTTTTTAAGTCAAATTTGCAGTTAAACTAAGCGTTAAGTATTGAAGTATGTCTTGAATAAAATATTTCAAAACCAATGTAAGTATTTGTACATTTAAATTTTCAATAGTAAACAATACACGAAGAACAAAGAAACAGTGTTGTAGTGACGCAAGCGCAGACATGTGTGAATAAAAAAATAAATAACGTTTTATTTGTAAATCAAACGTACAATTAATGTACCTTATATTTCAATGTTAAAATACCTTTTCTCCCTCCAACATCTTGTAAGGAAGGGATGGGAAAACTTAGATTTACGGACACTACGAGTATATCTGCGCGGACGGAGTCACAAGCGATATCTAGTATAGAATAAACCCCTCTAATCCCACTTCAGACGTCTGAAGACCTATCTACATCAGAGCTAACTTTTAATTAATCCGATTAATAGACATTGGATACGCCTTAAAATCCCAAGAATACATTTTATGTATTCTATTGTATACAGACTAACAAAATAGTAGTAAAAAAAAATTCTATTCCACATTTCTTAGTATACAAGCATGTGCTTTTATTTTATGAAATAATGCTTCATTTAAGCTGGTTTTAAATACACAAAATATTATATTTCTCTTAAATTCAAATATGGAACAGAACAACTTCCTCCTTCACAACAATAATGTTGAAAATAGAATACTCCGATCAATTAACACGTTGAAGCTACAATTATTCAGGTGAAGCTATAATGCGAATTATTGTAGCTTAACCCCTTAATTTCGGATTAAATGAACGTCGGTGGCTCAGGGGTCAAGCACTTGACTTGCAATATGCAGGTCCTGGGTTCGAATCCCGCCATTTACCAATGTGTTTTTGGATTTCCGATTTACATATGTACATTCCGACGTTCTTACCGTGAAGGAAAACATCGTGATGCAACCTGCACATATCTGAGAAGAAATTCAAAGATATGTGTGAAGTTAACCAACCCGCACTTGGCCAGCGTGGTTGACTATGGCCTAATCACCCTTAACTTAGGGTAGGCTCCGAGCCTCTCGGTGGGGACGTATAGTGAGCTGATGATGTTGAACCCCTTAATTTCGCTTATCTCGACCGCTCTATAAAGTTATAAAAACAAACTATCATTTAAGACATGATACACAAAGTGACAAACAAAATGATTGTATATATCTATCACATCATAGCCAATCTCATGATAAAGTTGGGTTTATAATGATAAAACCAAAAATGTTATCTTGTTTACATTCCCAAATTGCTTTCCTCCAGATCAATGGTTTCAAAGTCCAACAATCCAGTTATCAAACACTTTATTTGTAAATCTAGATAAGTAATAATATTTCCATGTTAAAAATGTCGCGGTAGCTAATTAGTGTATTTTTTATAAATTTAGTTTAATTATGAAATACTGTGAAAATGCAAAAAAAAATAGAATATTGATAATTTGGCAATCGACATAATGATAAACAAAGATTACAAAGTGTGTTAGGTTACAAGCAGTGCAGTAGCAAATTTTTATTTCGGTTTGGAGGAATTCGCGGGCAAAACTAAGGATAACAATAAAAATATAATTCGTGCTGGCTGGTTGCGCTAAAGTCATCAAAAATTATCGATCGCACCTTAATGACATAAGGTTAATAAAGATACAAATGTACGCTAAATTATCGCGTAATTTTGCTGTAAACGCGATTAATTCGTCACGTGCAGGAATTATAATATTGATATATAAATTTAATTATTTGTACACAGAAGGTTGTTTTCTTGAAAACTACACGTAACCTTTGGATAAAGAGGTCGCAGGGTCAGGGGCGCTGCGGGCCACTCGCTCATAGCCGCTTTCAAACTATCTCAGTATCAAAATAGAACTGTTTCCGTGTATACATAAATCATAACGATTGTATTTTTAACTTCAATCTTGAAAATGTTATAATCACGCTTCTTTATATGTCATTTTTAAGTCACTAGTTGTCGCCCATTACTCCTGCGCGGTATTAAAAAAATATAATTAGCTATGTGTTCTTGATATTTCAGACTATGTTCTATATGTATGGTAAATTTCATCGAGATTTGTTCAGCCGTTCTGGAGATACCTTCATACAAACATCCATCCATCTAAACTTTAGCATATATAATATTAGTAAGATAATATCACATCTAGCTACTGATAAACTGAAGCGAATCTACTGGAATGCTTTACCATGCACTATGTTAGTCCGTGCAACGAATCCTTCAACAAATATTTTTATTTAACAAGAGCGTGCTGACTGATGAACATTGTGTTTACATTGTAAATAAATGTCATGTCACCACTATCATAATGAGCCACTAGACAATTATATACAATTATTTCTAATGTTTTAATCTAATTAAAACTGTTGTTTTAAATCTTACAGCATGTTAAATAGTAAACAAGGTTATTATCTAGTGAAATGTTTGGTCAATATATGTAAAGATTAAGTTATTGATAGAATTTGACTTGTGTGTGGGGGCTTGTTTTGGTTGATTTACCTTTGTTTCAGAGGGGAATGCTTTATGCATTATGTGGGATTCTCTTCCGGATCGGAAGCATACCCACTAAACCCC